GCCTTCACCCAGCCTTGTAGGTTATTCAGAATCTTCAGTGAGGGCAGTACATACAGAGCCATCTAATCTAATCCAAAAGAAGTAACCCAAGTTCAAGAGGAAAAGAAGCATAATGTCTCTGTTCATGAAGGCCAAATGATCTTCTGTAAAAGAGCTGAAAAAATCCTTACCCCATGACAGCCAGACCATTTATCTAACAGGCTCTGTTTAGGCCTATGCCTGGAAAAACACTGTTGGGGATTATACTTCCATTGTGATATGCTCTTTCCCATTAAAAATAATGAATACTTTATAAGAAAGTATCCAGCAGGTTCCAGTGAAATATTATTATCTGATCACATTTGTTATAGCTGATGATAAAAAGTTCTAGCAAAACACCACCAAGGGAAACATGCAGTTACAATACACTGAACCAGATCATACACTTGCCCTTCTAGGCCAGGATTGTCTATTCCTTCTCAAATTGGCTCTTTAGAATCTCAGGAAGAGGCCATTTCCATCACTGGTTACCAGAGCCTTTATTAAGCGGAGATACTGAGATTTAAGCTTGAGACTTTCTGCATGTAAAATGAGCCCTGTAACACTGAGCTGTAGCCTTTCCCTGAATCAGTGATTAGAGTGTTTTCCAACTGGAGACAGCAATTTTTAATATGTATATATGTATGTATGTTAAAAGGAAACACAGCCTTGATTCTACACATTAGTCCCCTTCATTCTTGATGAGGAATATGTATATATCCTATGTTTAGAAATCATGACAGAGGTGTTCAAATTTATGCATGGTATACAAAAAGTGAATAGGAAAACCAGAACCCAGGTTAGCCCATGAAGCTGATTGATTCAGGATAGGCAAAAGACATGTCCTCTTCACACAGTGCACAATTACCTGTGGAATTTGCCACTGTAAAATGTAGTGAAAGCCACCTATTGGTTGGTTTTAAAGGGGGGGGTAGACAAATGACTGCTATACCTGATGGCTGTATGCTTCCTCCGGTATCGGAGGCCTCCCCACCAGTCACTGAGCAACTTGGGCAGGAGGGTGCTATTGCATTCTTGTCCCCCTTGTGTGTTTCTCACAGGCAATTGGTTGGCCTTTGTGTGAACAGAATGCTGGATAAGGAAGACTTTGGTTTGGTCTAGCTGTCTTTTCTTATGTTCTTCTGTATGCATTCACAAGAGCAAACAAGTAAAGTGAGAATCTGCCTGCAGGCTAGAAATAGCATGAATTGCTTTCTGAATCTCAAGATGGCATTTGTGGTTGTAGCTGTGCCTGCTGCTGTTTCTACTTAGTCATTTGGTATTACCTAACACTTAATGTACCATGTTCTGTCATGGCCAAGCCTCAAGGAAGATGTTATTACCCTGCAGTGATTACCTTTGATCTGGGTGGTGGGAGATGAGTCATAGCAGTGTTAGAGTGCATTCTCTGCAGGCAGAAAGTCCCGGGTTCAATGCCCAGAGCTGCAGATAGAAATGGAAAACCCTCTGGAAAGCCACTGCCAGGCAGTGCTGACGATACTCAACTAGATCTGACTTGAGATAAGTATCCCTATGTAAGACTTTGGACAATGCCAGGTTGTATGAACACTGTGCACTTTCTGAGAATTTAGTGCCATGTCATTCCTTTGCATTACCTCTTGAACAATGACACAGTTGTGCAAAACACTGGCCAGTTAGTCTAGAAATAGGCAGCCGGTGGGTATACTCCTTTGTCTTAATTTAATCTATACTAGATTGTTTGTCAGGAGTGGGGAATTCTGGGGAAGTGCATGTGCCAGTTGTGTTCCCTAGACATTCCCTCCCTATAAGCAGAAGTCTGTGGGGTGTTGCACAGTTTGTGGGATGCCCCAAGTTAAGAAATAAATCAGAGGCTTGCTGTTAAAATTCCATAAATCACTCTGTTGCACTAAAAGGTTACATTTAGTTTGTTTGCAAGCTGAATTTGACACTTTTAGTACCCTGTAATGCCAAAACAAAAATGCCATTTTGTTAATATTTGTTGCAAAATTATAATTCTGCAGGGTGGCTGAGGCTTATATGTAGCTTGTAGGCAGTATGTTGCCCACCCCAGTTTATGTGGATGAGATAGGCTGTATTCCAGACATATTTTAACTTGTAGTAAAATGTGTTGGGGTGCATTTAAGGAGTGATCATTCATAGAAGTAATCTATGTTATCAGAAGGTTTTTCATTAAGTGTTTGTGACAGTTTTTGTTTGTCTAGAGATCGAAGTTTCTGCAGAAGGAGTATCCATACATGTATTTGTTGATGCTGTAGTCCTTTTCTTTCTCTTTTTGAAAGTTGTTTTGCTTGGCAAAAATAAGAATGCAGAAACTAAATTAGGAGAACAGCCTAATGCCTTTCCTGTGTCAGATCTGTGAACAACCTATGCTCTGCTGGAAGACCTCTGGCAGGGAAAGATCAGCAGCAGAAGTGACCTTCATTTCTCTGTCCTCTGTTCCACTGTTTCAAGAAGCCAGGGCAATGGTGATCTGTAGACTTTGGAACTCTGAGGCTGGAACTCTGTGGTTGCTGCCAGGGATAGTGGTGAAAGCCTCATCAGAGGAGGTTGTTGCGATGTCTGCATCCTCAGGGGAAAATCAGCAGTACAGTCTCTGGGGCACTTTCTCAGGGACATAAGATTGCTCTCTGAGACAGTTTGAAGATTCAAGTGTTTGTTCCCAGATTAAATTAGATGTGACAATTGTAGCTTTTTAGAGATTCATGAACATCTAAATCTTCTGAAATTATCTACACCAAAACTTAAGAGTTACCTCAACCCATTGCTTAAGAATATCCTCAGAGAATTTTCTATTCTGCCTCCAATATGAAGTGTCTGGCAGAGAGCAAGCAAGAGTGGGAGCAAGAGCGAGCGGGCGCTTGGGAGTATGATGTGTACTGCCATTAATATGCCAATGTCCTGGTTACTGTGTTCCTTTTCAAGAGATTCAGAAGCTTCAGTAACAGGTCATGAATGAAGCCTGGTGTTACTTGAATTATAGAGAAGAGCAGACTAAATCCAGCTGAGATGGTGGAGATGCTAAATGATGACTTGTCAGATTGGGAGGGGATTTCTGGTTACAGCCGAGAATAACACACTGATGCACGAGGTTAATCATTTGGACGCTCTGCTGGACCTAGCCTTGTTTCTCCATGTCAGTGGGATTAGGGATGTATTTTGTCAGGTGCAATACACTTGCTGTGCCTTTTAATCCAGTCGCCCACTCCCTGGAGATTCCTCAAATTGCTTTTAGTTCAATGAGCCCTAAGCAACCTGTCCTTTCAAGCATATAAACAGGACTACACAACTTGAGTATATGATGCCTCTTCCCAGACAGTAGGAATTTCTGAATGAGGTTCTGCGCAAGGCCCTGTCTGTTTTGTTCAGAGCAGGATGTTCTCTGTACGGGCATTACAACTTTGAAAAGCCCTTTCCAAGAAGGATTGTTGGTTTCATGGTTCTAAGATTTTAGGAAGCAGGCCAGGATGTTTATTTCAGTGTTTTTAAAAACTATTGATCCAGTGTGTGTGTTGTGTTTTAGTGTTGGTATCATTGCTGTTGGATTGGGCTTTTTATGTTTGATCTTTAGTTCCTTTTAAAAATGGATTTTAAATTTTAATTTTGTGGCTATTATAAGCCATTTGGGGGACCATATGATGGAAAGGCACTCTAGGAAAATTTAGATGGACTAATTACGTCTAGTCTTCACATGAAAAGAATATGGATAGAGCTTGGAATGTGTGTTTCTTGGAATCTGTCATCTCCAAATCTGGAAGGGGATTCATCTGGGATGCAGAAGAATTGTGGGCCCACTGGAACAAGGCAGGAAACTTCAGCTGACAGCCTTCTCCTGGAAGAGCTATTCTTGGACTTCTCCAAGTGCAGGAATCAGAGCACAGTTCTCCCCTTGGAACAGCCTAGGATCAAACACAAGCAGCAAAAGTTCAAACAGGAGGCACACTGTGAGGCCTCCCATAAAAGCAGCATGCTGATCTGATTAAACAGCTGAGCTGATTTAGGACCCCCTATAAATTAGCCCAGCTGGAGTTAGCTGGTTGCTGCAAACAACAGTGTTTCACTCTGTAGCCCATGTTACTCTGTAGCCCTTTCTCTACCAGCCTGGACCACTCTCTCAGTCACTCCTGACTGACTTGGCCTGTTGGTTGATTGGACTAGTTTCTGGCTTTGTCATTCTTGAAAATCTTTCAAGCCTAACTACTTGCTGGTTCAGGAAGAGGGTAAAATTGCCATTTTACTATCAACGGACCAAGAAATTTTTAACTACAGTGATGTTCTCAGGAGCCAGTTTTCTATGCCTTACTTCAGCAAATGTTATTGAAGAATATTGGGGTCCAAACACTGTCATACCACTGGCAACCCAATTCTGGAGTGCTTTCTGGATACTGGTGCTTCTCTTGACCCCCTTGTCCTCTCTGTGCGATGATTTGAGGTGAGTCTTGGAATTGGTGTGAACTAAACATCATAGACAAAACATTGGTGCATATATGATGCTAACCACAGTGTACACTGAACATGTAAGAGCAAGGGACTTTGAATGAGGAAGAGGGAAGGAGATCATGGTTGGAAGACAGAGTGGAGAGCCATCCATCTACATTGAGTCTTCCTTCAACAGCAATTTTTCTTTTACTTAAGCAGTTACAATGTAACAACTATGGGATGTTCAGCATTGTTTGTTAGAGTGGCTGGGTTCAGACAATACGATAACCTGCATTTCAACAACAATGCAGCATTTCAGCAAGAACCTACATGCAACCCATGCTCAACCCTTGAATGTAGGTTACAGCATTCTGTGAACCCAGTCACTGTGTTTAATGTTACTGACCACCAGGTATGCTGGTATACCATTGTAGCCTCAGGAGCTTTAAATTGTTATAGAAATTTCTTCTAGGAAATGAAACATCTTCCTAAGGTTAAAAGCAATAACTAGCCTTGCACTTTCCTATGAAATAATTTTATTTCTTTTCCCTTTCTTTCCTCAGAAAAAGAGGGATAGAAGTCGTACAGGTGAGTACAATTGATCTGTTTGCTCTACATTTCTTTAACAGTTTTTCAGAATTCCTTTTCATGTTCATGTGCATAGACAGATCACACATCTACACATACATGTGCGAAGTCTGAATAACTAGATAGGAACCTCATCGTGTTTTGGATTTTTTGTTTGGTGATGCTTGATTTAGATTGTTAATGCTTTTTATCAGTAAGTATCACAGACCCTTATTATTGCAATGCAGTGTGATAGGGGTGGAAAAGGCAGTTACCAAAAACAAGAGGTTTTCAAAGAGCACAGCAGCACTGCCATAACTTCACAGTAAAGATGCTGTTGTTCTGTGCTTTCAAGTTTTCTTTGAATTATGGCGACCTGGTGAAACGAGCTCCCCTCTGAGGTCACCTGGTGCCAACTTCACTATCTTTTCGATGCCAGGTGAGGACTGTCCTCTACTGCAGGTATTTAATTAGCCTGCTGGTTGTTAGTTAGGGTTTCCTCAATATATAATTTAGATGTTCTGTTTTTTATTTTGTTTTAAATTTATTTAAATTTAAATAACTTTTATGATGCTCTATATTTTTTAAAAATATGCTATTGTGAACCACCCAGAGAGCTTTCACTGTTGGGCAGTAAAGAAATTGAATGAATGAATTAATGAATGCCCACCAAAATGTCATGACCTTCAGAGCCCTGCACGACAGCCCATTTACAATTCCTTCCAACTATCAGTGAAAACCAGCATTTGAAAAATAGAGGTTAATGGAAGTGTTGCTACAGGGAAGAAGGTAAGTCCGCCCCCCAGTATGTTTTTATTAGTTGATCCTGTCATTATATGATATAAAACATATCAATGGCATTAATGCATGGAACCAGACCTGCAAAAACTAGTGTTATGATCACCATTGACTGCTTTAAATGGAAGTATCACACTTGCCAAATTGTTTATAGAAGGTTAATTAAAAATCATTGTGTCTGAGAAACTAAGGTTTAAACACATTTAAAACACATTTAACACATTTAAAAGAAATAATTTGGGCTGCTCATATTAAACACAAATAAGCATGTCGCTGATACCAAGGTAAGTATTTACCATATGTAATACATATGAAATCTTGTCCTTCAAGTAAAATGAAATATCTTCAGAAATGGGTATATTCACTGAATCTTAAATGGGTAATAGAATGAAAGAATCTTTTAAAAAAAGGCTATTCAATTTCAGTTGGCTCTGACCAACTAAGGGAAAACATTTTATTATACTGTGGCAATATCTTAATTTGGTAAATTCAAGAGGCCACATGTCCTGTAAATATCCCTAAGTCCCTTTTTACCTCTGCTTTCCAGAGTGGGGTTTATATATAAAAATGGAAGCAACTGCTTCTGTCCTCTTTGTGAGCCACCCCGAGGCTTTGTTGCGATGGGGGCGGCATAGAAATGTTTTAAATAAATAAATAAATAGATAGATAGATAGATAGATAGATAGATAGTGATTAGGTCCAAAACCTTTTCAGATGTGGTCCAAGAAGACACGGAACTTAAATTCTGAGTCAGATAGAGAAGGGGAGATGGAAGCGTTGAAGCAGCAAGGATATGTCAGTAGCAGACTAGTAAGAATAGCAGAGATGAGAGGAGGAAACCTAGCTGCTGTCTTTTCTTTTGGAGGACAGCCAGGCCGGGCCTTCTGAACCCATGGGAATGCAGAGCCCCAACAAAGAGGAGGGATGGGTGGGAATATGAGACCCAAGAGGCAGATGTCAAATAAAAAGGGAGGGTCAGCACAGGGTCCCATGGCATTCAAATAGTTTTGTGGCGAAGATGGTGATCTAGAAGGATCCACATTGTGGGAAGGACTTGGTGGCCTCTCAACTTCACAAGGGACACAGTAGACATTATCAATTTCATGGCGGCTCCCTTTCATTGTACTGTAACCCAAGGGACTAACTGGCGCAACTGAGGCACTGGGTTATGCAACACCTTTCTAGAACCTTTTCTCTCTTTTGGCTGCAAGAGAAAACTGTCTGTAGTGTGAGGCAACATGCACTTGTCATCTGTGTAATACAGGTAATGAATTGAAAGCCTGACTACAGGAAGAGCCGGAGGCCAGGCTTACTGGACTCTTTTCCTTCCTTGCTTACTCAGTGGGGCAAGTAATAAAAGTTTTAGATTTCTCTTGCTGTTGTGGGCTGTGTTCTCAGAAAATAGCCAGAATATTTGGTTAAGGCTCTTCTTATCACTGGTGACTCACAGGGGCTAGATTTCTGACGTCCATGAATAGTGTGATGTCATAGAACAGCCTTAATTAAAAAGGAGGCCTTCGGATATATTTAGGTTGCAATGTCCATGTAGGTTGGGAATGCAGTCGAGTATATCTGGAGAGCACAGGGTTGGAGCAAGGCTGTCACAAAAGAACATTCTTCTATCATGCAGACTGGGCCTTCTCGACTATCAAAATTCAGATAGAAAAGCAAGTGTTGTTTTTATATACTGACAAGTTGTCTCTGACTTATGATGACGCTATGAATGAAAGCCTTCAAAATGTCCTATTTTATGTGATTAAATCGTACTATGTTGTTATATTATTTATTTACATTTTGTTTTGTAAGGTGTCCAACGGGTTTGGAATGTTGGCCACTATAGAAGTATAATGCATATATTACAAAATGCCCTGGATTAGTGTTGTAGCAGAATAAATTTATTGCATTTTCATTAAGCTGCTACATTTTTTCCCTTTTCAAAGTAGAGTAATATTATACTTTTAGTAGTAAATGGGTGCTGCCTTACCACTGCAAGTCTCTTGTTCTTATTGGCCAGAAAGGCATAAAGTCGAGAAAAGAGCCACCTACCACTTTCTCATTTTTTAGTGGGCATGGGGCATGTGTACGTATACATACATGGAAATAGTTTTTAAAGGATTTACTGAATCTCCTGAGAAATGATAAATTCAAGTTGAGACTTCCATCTGCACAATAGTAATAAGTTTCTGATGTAACAATAGGGATCTGGGACTTTCTGCATGCAAAGTCTGAACTTGAGCTGCTCATCAAAGCAGCTGACAGAACACATACACTCACACCCACCCACACCGTATACTAGCCTGGAAAAGTGCAGAAGACAGACATTAACACCCTTTTCTCATAACAAAGAACAACTCTTGTATTTAAATTCAGCTAACTAGACCAAAGGGGAGAGTCTTTAGCTAATAGGTACTGTTGGGTTCCCTTTGCAGAGAACCACAGTATCCTTACGCATGAATTTCAAATAATGAAGATTTACCACTGTTCAGTTTTAAGTAGTCTAGAGAGCATCCTATATGAACAAATTTGTCCTTTTAAACCTGGGGTGAGCAATTGTAGCCTAAAGGCATCATGAGGCCATTGACTTAATGTCATGTATCCTGCAGCCTCATTTCAAAACGCTTCAGTGGGCAGTGAATCTAGAGCTCCTGAAAGCGTGATCCGTCCCTCCTCTTGCAGCCTGAGTTAGAGGGGAGATGGAAGTGGAGAGGAGGAGGAGGCAGAAAGAGAGGGAAAGGGGCAGCCCACCTGCTTTGGCTCTGGCTGTACTCACTACTGCCATTGACCTGCCCAACACAGACATGCAGCCCTTGACAAGTTGCCCTTGAGAGAGCTGCGGCCTCCCTGTTTTAAATGGTGTTCTGTCTCTAAACCTGATCTAACACTCCCGCCTCTGATGCACTCTCCATGGTCTTGTGCACAGTCCCCTATTATTCATGTCACATTGTCCAATTACGTTTTATCTTATCTTAAAAGCCAAAGATTACATAGTTCAGCAACAGGCCCTGAACAGGAAACTAATTGGTGACCACAGGGTTGCACATTTGTCTGCTGCTTCTGCTAAAGGTTTCTTCTGATGACGAAGTCTTATTATCTCATAAATCTTTATTAAACTTACGACATGAAATTGCTGGTATTAGTTGAAGATGCCACGTCTGTGCTGCTGGAACATTCAGCATGCTGTGAGGAAAAAATGCTGAAGGTAGAATCTTGCATATAGGGCACAATTATATCTAGGTTTAGACAGAAAAGAGACTTTTCTATCTAAACTTGTGTAGGATTGTGACCTTAAAGTTTTAATTGGAACTCTTCACCCTGGTTACTTCTGAAAATGGCCACATCATTTATGTGCATTATTAGTATATCTTGCACTGAGGGACTGGACTGCAATACATTGGGTGCTGAACAAACTGGTAGGAGGCTTTTGTGTTAAGCATCAACTGCCTTTGAATTTTTGGGCATGTTCCTGCATTCTGGCGTACTAAGCTAGGCTAGCTTTCAGTGCTAACAATAACCAACTTAAAATGGTTATATCTGTATTCTGTCTGTATTTCTCTCTTCCCATTATTTTTGGGTAGCTTGTGCATGCCCATATTTTCAGAATTTAGAGAATGTCTGTGTTATTTAAAAACATATAAACAATAAAGTAAAGCTAGCAAGGAATTATTCATTTGCACAAGTAGTGCAGGACCCATGGATAAAAATTACAATAAAGTTCAGTGCAGGTTTGATTTTCTTCCCTGCTGCTGTTTTCATATGCACCCAGCACTGTATCTCCCATATTTCCAGCAAATCCTGGTTTTTAGCACCTTGCAAGCAGAGGTAATATCACTGGTAAGCTTGGGCCTGCATTTTCTGAGCACCCAGCAGGAGTCCATTCACAAGAACCCCTGCTAGAGTTGCTGCTCCTCCTCTCCATTGCAAGCTCCTGGTTTATCTACATCACACTCTGCCCCGGATAGTGGTGGTGGTAGAAGGGAGGAGCAATAGATGTCACTTGGTGGGTTACATGTGCAACAACCCTATCATAATAAATCACCACATGAAGGGCCCAGCAGCCGCAATGAGCCTGAGAGATGATCGGGGCTATCATGGTTGCTTTCCTTTCCCTGCCTCCTTCACTGTCATTCCTCCAGGGAGTATCCAGGGGACACCATGGGGAGGAATGAGGCTCCTCACCTTGACAGTCATCATCATGAGCTGAGTTTGACTTGCTGTGGCTGTCA